GTTTGCGAGAAGATGGAATCAGAAGACATTGCTTTCGAAGCATTTCAAAAAGAGGGCGTATTTTGTAGAAGCGGTCTGTGCTGTTGTTGAACTGGTAATTGTCATTGAAATGAATGAAGCGACGTAGTAGCTTGAATCTTTTCCTTGGCACGATGTCAGCTATCAGGTTGTAACGAGAATCATGATGCCAATAATCCTCCATGGCAGGGAAACTAAAAACACCCATGACGAGGAGCATTGCAAGGAAAATTTCTATCTCCTCAGGACTACAGTTGATTGGATCCCCCAATTCTTGGGCAGAGTAAAGGTTGGTTTGGTGAGCAATATGTTGAATCATCTCATCTGTAAAAAGTGACTTGAAATACTGCAAGGGTGTTTTCACACATTCAGGAGCTTCAAATACAGAAGCAGGAATATGGATTTTATCAATGTCTTCATATTTCCAGATTCTTCGAGTGGCTTTCTTTGGGTTTGGAGGTGTGCTTTGCTCAAGAGTTTCGTCCAGTTCTCTTACTGATATTCTTTTGAGAATGTTTTTTCCTTTACGTCTTTTCTTGCGGGGTGGTGGTTTAGATTAAGTACTTGTGTTTGGAGTCTCCTCATCTTCCTCCTCTTCAAACATGGACTCAAAAGAAGTTTCATCTTCCTCTTGTGTGGGATGATAGTCAGGATCTTCTGTTGGGTCATCATCACTCAGATCAGCATCAGAATCTTGAGGGTGTTCTGGTATCAGAGCCTGGGAATTGTGTGTCCTTGAAGCATAAAAGGTTTTGCTGTCCATGTAGAATTTTCGATAAAAAAGGAAAATGTATATGCAAATATAAAAAAGATGTAAATCCATGCATCAATGAAGTGGTTGTAATATGTTAGCATTAGAATAAGTCAATAAGGGATATAACAACTAAGAAAATGCATGTATAAGTGATCCAATCACTGAACTTTACAAAAGAAAGTATTTTCCAACTACATTAGTATTGTGCCTATGCCTTCATTATAAATGGACAAATCAACCATTTGGTAACATGTGTTTTTAGAAAATTATTTAACCCTTATAAGATTAGCTTTTCATCACAATATTTCTTTCCAATGTTTAGTAAAGCCTCTGACATTGTTTCATGTTGAAAAAGTTTCCCTACCTTTCAAATATTTGACAAAAAGAGCTGTCTTTTCTTAGCATGCTCATCCCTCTCCTAACTTCCTGTGTGGACAGTTCTTAAAAAGGTCAAAA